ATCACTATAATGGAGTACAGGGGAGCTGGGATATACATTACTGTATACATGTCATCACTATAATGGAGTACAGGGGAGCTGGGATATACATTACTGTATACAGTTTTATATTTTGGACTCTTTATTCTGAAGAAAAATGTAATTTCATAAGCTTTAAGGGGGCAAGGTTGGGGGTGGGCTGGGGGTGGTGTTGGGGGCGGACCTAGGCAAGGTTGGGTGGGGCAACTGGTGGAGAGTAAGTTTTGCGACCGGCTAGTAGGTCTTGACTCGAAATTTTAACCCCTGATAGTCTGTCGTAAATTGCTCTGTCCCTAGCCATGCACCAGGCTCTAAACATTTCTCACATACTAAAAACATCAGCAAGGGTTTTAGTAGTGACTTTTCTATGAATGCTCATACATCTGCACAGTGAATTTTATTATAAATGGACCCTAATTATACGTGGATAGCCCTACTCTACTTTATGAGTCTGCACTAGTTATCACTGCACTCCCACAATCAAAAACGTCCCAAAAAATTTCTTTTTTGCAGTGAACTTTTTTTTTTAAGTCTGCTCCACCTCCCGGTCACCATTCCCACCGCAGCCATCAGGGGCCATCTCCTTGAGCCGCAAAGAGGCAGCCAGCTCCCGATGATGTCAAAGAGGAAGATGGCAGTGTGGGAAGTGAGCTGTAGCACCTCTGCAGCAGATCACAGAAGGACAAGGCTGCATTTGATGGACATATATGCGAATTGGGGACAACCCAGGATAAAAACTAATTAGGGTTAACTACAGATTTTATTATGCGATTTGTCCCTTTTTTATAAAGGCACTAGAATCAGGTTTTTGATACAGAGCATTTTTTATTTGGAGCTACAAACAAGAATGAACACAAATTTAAAACGTTTACATACAAACCAAAAAAATCAGCAAACAATGCTATATACAGTATATAATAAGGGTTCACTAAGGGCCAGTTCACACTAGGAACTGCATGTGAGTCACACAGGAACTGCACAGCGTTCCTGTGCGACTCACATGCAGTTCTGTGCACTGTGATTGCAGCCTATTCATTTTGAACGGTCTGAAATTGCACCACATCACAAGTAGTGCATGTACTACTTTTGGAAATGCACTGCAACCGGATCACACTGTGCTTGTGACCTCCATTTGGAGTGTCATTAACTTATTATTGACACCCACTGCAGTTCGCAAATGGAATGTATTTTAAACATGGTGCAGGAAATGCACACAGAACGTGGTTTCCTGCACCGTGTTCTGGTGTGAACAGTCCGCTAAAAAGTTATTTAAAAAATGTTTGGATTTTTTTTCTTCTTTAATAGTTGATACATAATAATAATAGTAACAATAGTAGTTTCTACAGTCAAGTCCATAAATATTGGGACATCAACACAATGCTAACATTTTTTGGCTCTATATACCACCACAATGGATTTGAAATGAAACAAACAAGATGTGCTTTAACTGCAGACTGTCAGCTTTATTTTGAGGGTATTTAAATCCAAATCAGGTGAACGGTGTAGGAATTACAACAGTTTGCATATGTGCCTCCCACTTGTTAAGGGACCAAAAGTAATGGGACAGAATAATAATCATAAATCAAACTTTCACTTTTTAATACTTGGTTGCAAATCCTTTGCAGTCAATTACAGCCTGAAGTCTGGAACGCATAGACATCACCAGACGCTGGGTTTCATCCCTGGTGATGCTCTGCCAGGCCTCTACTGCAACTGTCTGCAGTTCCTGCTTGTTCGTGGGGCATTTTCCTTTCAGTTTTGTCTTCAGCAAGTGAAATGCATGCTCAATCGGATTCAGGTCAGGTGATTGACTTGGCCATTGCATAACATTCCACTTCTTTCCCTTAAAAAACTCTTTGGTTGCTTTTGCAGTCTGCTTTGGGTCATTGTCCATCTGCACTGTGAAGCGGCGTCCAATGAGTTCTGAAGCATTTGGCTGAATATGAGCAGATAATATTCCCGAAACACTTCAGAATTCATCCTGCTGCTTTTGTCAGCAGTCACATCATCATCAATAAAAACAAGAGAACCAGTTCCATTGGCAGCCATACATGCCCACGCCATGACACTACCACCACCATGCTTCACTGATGAGGTGGTATGCTTAGGATCATGAGCAGTTCCTTTCCTTCTCCATACTCTTCTCTTCCCATCACTCTGGTATAAGTTGATCTTGGTCTCATCTGTCCATAGGATGTTGCTCCAGAACTGTGAAGGCTTTTTTAGATGTCGTTTGGCAAACTCTAATCTGGCCTTCCTGTTTTTGAGGCTCACTAATGGTTTACATCTTGTGGTGAACCCTCTGTATTCACTCTGGTGAAGTCTTCTCTTGATTGTTGACTTTGACACACATACACCTACCTCCTGGAGAGTGTTCTTGATCTGGCCAACTGTTGTGAAGGGTGTTTTCTTCACTAGGGAAAGAATTCTTCGGTCATCCACCACAGTTGTTTTCCGTGGTCATCCAGGTCTTTTGGTGTTGCTGAGCTCAGCGGTGCGTTCCTTCTTTTTAAGAATGTTCCAAACAGTTGTTTTGGCCACGCCTAATGTTTTTGCTATCTCTCTGATGGGTTTGTTTTGTTTTTTCAGCCTAATGATGGCTTGCTTCACTGATAGTGACAGCTTTTTGGATCTCATCTTGAGAGTTGACAGCAACAGATTCCAAATGCAAATAGCACACTTGAAATGAACTCTGGACCTTTTATCTGCTCATTGTAATTGGGATAATGAGGAAATAACACACACCTGGCAATGGAACAGCTGAGAAGCCAATTGTCCTATTACTTTTGGTCCCTTAACAAGTGGGAGGCACATATGCAAACTGTTGTAATTCCTACACCGTTCACCTGATTTGGATGGAAATACCCTCAAATTAAAGCTGACAGTCTCCAGTTAAAGCACATCTTGTTCATTTCATTTCAAATCCATTGTGGTGGTGTATAGAGCCAAAAATGTTAGAATTGTGTCGATGTCCCAATATTTATGGACCTGACTGTATTCCTGAATGGATACAGATCAGGAACTGAGCTGTCATAATGACAGCTCAGTCCTGCAGATTATACTCATCAGAGAGATTAAACTGTGACAGCAGTTTATCAGCAGCACAGAGAGCCCCTGATACAGAGCGTCACACTAAGGCCCATGTACACGGGACACTTCTGAACGATGGAAACTGACTGCTGGAAAACGTAGGTTAAAAAACATCTGTTTAGCCATGTTTGCATAACGCGTTTATAAACGTTTGTGTTTAGAAGCATTTTTTAATAGATAACCTCAGGAGACCTTCCCAGAATGCACTGAAAAACTGTAAAAAAAAATTTACTATTTCAGACATTTTGAGAGAAATAGAGAGAGCAGAAAGCACAAAAAACAGTATTTGTTGAGATTAGCTCTTTTTTTTGTTTTGTTTTTGTGGTGTTTGGATGTGTTCCAGCTCATTTATGTGCAGAAATTATTGCAGCAGTGTCTAACATATTTCCTTTCATGCAAAACCTCAAAGTATGGTGTACCAGGTCCATTTGATTACCGGGAAAACACTTTGCATGCATTTTTCATAATGAAAAAAGGCTCTGGACAGCATCTGGAAATGGAAGAGTTAAAAAAAATGTTCAAATGCAAATGCCTATAAACGCGGTTAGCTGCATTTAGCCGCATTTACACGTGTTTACAAGCGTTTTACATTTCAAACGCTGATAAAATCTGCTGAACGCAAGTTTTCTGCATTCAAAAAAATGACTGTAAACTCAACTGCCTGTAAACGACTGTAAACGAAGATGTGTACATGGACACCTAGGAAAACATTAGGGTGGGTTCAGGGGCTGCTGAAAAAAAACGCTGAACAGCTCCTAAACGTGAGTTTATCACCTGAAGTGTACATGAGCTCTAAGGGCTCATTTACAGGGGTGGTCTGGGGGCTATAAAAGCCATGGTTTTACCACCCCTGACCACCCACCTAAACAAGATATGCAGTTGCTCAGGGAGGTACACATGCTGCAGCCATGATGCTTTACACAACCCATTCAAGTAAACAGAGCCTCCTTGCAACAACCTTGCACTGCATATGTCTGTGGTACATTGGGTCTGCATTTTTAATGTTAAAATAGGCTTGTTACACTTCTCTGAAAAGAGATCCACCACACTGCTTTTCAGAGAGGTGTCAGGGGCTGGTTAGGAGGGGAGTTTCACTGGTTGTACAAGGAGAATCACAATCTCACTGAGTACACTGCAGGATTGGGCTATCAGTTTGACAGTTCAGTTCTGCACTGTGCAGGAGTTGGCAGGGCAATACCAAGGCGGGGAGGCTGCGGGGCCAAGGCGGGGTGGCTGCGGGGCCAAGGCGGGGTGGCTGCGGGGCCAAGGCGGGGTGGCTGCGGGGCCAAGGAGGGGAGGCTGCGGGGCCAAGGCGGTTGTCTCTTTGGCCTCGGTCCAGCCCTGTGTTTGCCTACTTGAGGTTGGGGTAGCAGACTGTTTTTGAGAGGTGTACTTATATCATCATTTATTTAAATGTGGCATGAACACAATGGAAATGAATATATGAGTATACTGTGTACATACAAAATAATTTAATGATGACATAACTGCTGTTCATTCAGTAATCCCCGCTCACCTTAGAGGGTTGTGTCATTGTCATGGTGTAATATAATCCTTTGGTATGTGAGAATTATAGGTGTGAATGGTAGATTCATTAAACAGTGCACCTGTTTTGTTCTTTTTGCTTTATCTGAATACCTGCCAGGTCACTAACCTTTTTGCTGCCAGAGAGCACACATGGCACTTTTTAAAACCCCCAAATATTCTATATTTTCTGAAAACAGATTTAAAAGATAGTAGTTACAATTTTTTTTATTACACAATATTAGGCAACTGTTTATCAAATCAAATTTTCTGTAAAAAAATACAATAATACACAATAAAACAAGACATGTGCATAGATACAAAAGATGTCAAGGCAAACTATGATACCCCAAATTGTTCATTGGCGACGCTTCAAAAAGCTTTACAGTTTATTAGCTTAGAGTTAAGACGTACTGAAATATATAAAAAAAACATTTTTTACCTTAACACAGTGGTTCTTAACCTGGGTTCGATCGAACCCCAGGGGTTCGGTGAGTCAGTCTCGGGGGTTCGGCGGAGGTGACCCACACCCGACTCATATGATTTGTGATGACATGCCCCGCTTGTCCATCATTGGCTGCAGGTGGTCACGCCCAGTGGTCGGCAAGCCGCGGCTCTTGTGTGCCGGGCGCCCGCTCCCCTCCCTCCTCTCGGGCGGCAGGGACTCAAATGCAATGATTGGCCAGTCATGAATTACTATATGGGGGATGAATTACTATATGGGGGATGTATTACTATATGGGGGATGTATTACTATGGGGGATGAATTACTATATGGGGGATGAATTATTATATGGGGGATGAATTACTATATGGGGGATGAATTACTATATGGGGGATGTATTACTATATGGGGGATGAATTACTATATGGGGGATGTATTACTATGGGGGATGAATTACTATATGGGGGATGAATTACTATATGGGGGATGAATTACTATATGGGGAAGGAATTACTATAGGGGGGATGAATTACTATATGGGGGGATGAATTACTATATGGGGGGATGAATTACTATATGGGGGATGAATTACTATATGGGGGATGAATTACTATGGGGGATGAATTACTATATGGGGGATGAATTACTATGGGGGATGAATTTTCATACCGTTTGTTACAACATATCTTTGCGAGCAATCCTTTTCGAGGATGCTGGACATAAAGACGAAGAAAAGGAACAGACTTTGTTGCGAAAATGACATGAGAGTGGCACTTGCCAAGGTAATGCCGCGCATTTCTGAACTGGCCTCTGAAAGACAACAGCAGAAGTCACACTGATTTGCGGTAAATATTCATTATTTTGTTTTTGTGTGAAAATCATGTTTTAATGGTTTTGTTCTTTGTTCTTAATGGTTTTGTTCATTTTGTGCACCTATGTATAAATATATACCTATGTTTTGAATTTTAAAAATCATATTTTATTTTTCCAATTAAGAAGGGTTCGGTGAATGCGCATATGAAACTGGTGGGGTCAGTACCTCCAAAAAGGTTAAGAACCACTGCCTTAACACATTCTCTATATTAAAGCGGAACTCCACCCAAAAGGGGAAGTTCCACTTTAAGGACTGCTCCCCCGCTCCCCATTAAGGATTGGCACCTTTGGGGGGGGGAGCGGGTACCCACATTTGACAGGTAACCTGCGGCTCTCTAGCGCTTGTGGAACTACATTTCCCATGAGACATTGCAAAATTGACAGTTACAGCTATGACTTGCAGAGGCATGATGGAACTTGTAGTCCCGCAACAGCTGGAGAGCCCCTGGCCTAGGCGATCAGAAGTGGAAGGTGTCCTCCCTCCCTCCTTCCCTCCCTGTAGTCTTTTGGGACACGTGACAGGTCCCAGAAGACTACAGGACCATTCATGAAGCGCAGCGCTACTCGTGCATGTGCAGTGGGTACCCGGTTGTGAAGCCGCAAGCAGTCACAGCCGGGTGCCCACACTGAAGATGCCGGCCTCCTGGAATACAGGACGGCTGGTGAAACGGGCTGCGGGGGACACACCGTGGGACCGAGGGACAGGTAAGTGGCTGTTTTTTTAAAAGTCAGCAGCTACAATTTTTGTAGATGCTGACTTTTATTTTTTGACAGGGTGAGTGGAACTCCGCTTTAAGGTAAAAAAGCACCCCACTACTGTCCAACTCCCATCTCTAAACACTTACTTGTTTTTATGTCACGCCACAAGTGTTGACATACACCAAGTGTAGGTTCACGCTTTGGGGCTGATTTACTAAAGGCAAATAGACTGTGCACTTTGCAAAGTGCAGTTGCTCCAGAGCTTAGTATATGAGCAGAAGCTCTGCTGATTTCCATCATCCAATCATAAGCAAGCAAAATTTCAGGTTTTTTTTATTTTCCTTACACGTGATTGGGTATTCTTTTACAAAATGGAGCTTTACCTGATTTACTAAGTGCTGAGGAAACTGCACTTGTAGAGTCCAACTGCACTTTCCAAAGTGCACAGTATATTTGCCTTTAGTAAATCAACCCCTTTGTGTATGCTAGGAAGCGAGTGAGCATTCTTGCGCATTTTGTGTAGGGCAGTCCATTAAATTTAATAGACTGTTCTAAACACGAAAAAACATGCAGAAGAAGTCCCTGACCCTTTTGCTAAATCGCACAGCACAGAACGGCATGGTGCTGAAAATTTAAAATGAATGGCAGGGCCATGCATCTGCTAACGGGCAGCTCATTTCTTTATCGGCAAAGCATGCAATTCTGCACACATTCCCAACACACACAAAGTGTGTGAACTAGTCCTAAAGCTCTTATTTTGTTAATAGTGTAGGTAGGTTCAGTAGGCCACTTTGCCACTAGGTTGCCCTGTATCAGCATAATGTCTGGTACAGCCGGTAGTGACACTAGGTGTTAGACCCCTCCCACAGGGGAGTCAGTATCCATATATAAGCCAGGTATGAAGGGATCCTGGAAGCATTTGGTGCATGGGAGATAAACTTCCCACACCTGTGAGGATGTAACCAGCACATTTAATCTCTGGACAGGACAGGAGGTCTGGTGAAGTTGGCCTGTGTGTAGGAGGAATTGGCAGTAGTCATTCTGTCCCTTCTGGAGATGGGGGCTGTGGCAGATTGCAAAAGGCTTTGTAGGCTAGGCTGAAGATACCTGTACGAAGCTGCTTCCATGGAGGGTTCAAGAGAGAGGTGAACACCTCCAGGAGGTATCTACAGAGAGTAGAGTAGTTATGACCCAGAGTAGAGGAGAAACTGTAGGAAGATGGCTTTGAGGTGCTGCACATGCTTTTGTTTGTGACTACTGCGAACCGTCCATTTTATGTGATTGACTGTGTGTGTCAAGTGATTGTGAAATGTATGTCGAAGTGATGTGACTTTCTTGGCATTCCCGAACAACACCAGTAAAGTGCAGTGAAGCCAATGTTTGTGTGGACATTCCTCCTTTGGGATATAAAGGTCTATGGCTGGAAATGTCGTGAGGAGGCCTATGGCAAGAAGCAGGGCACAAGAAGGTGGAAGGGTCAGCCTCAGCAGATGGGATTGTGTTCTAGCAGGGCTGGAATGGGGGTAGGGCCTTGTGCTTGGGCACCAAAATTAGCCAGCCACAAAGCCCATTTTACAAGTGGGTATTAATCTCAAAGAAAACTTACGTAGGATACCATTGCTTGCACCAGCTTCAAAAAATGTTTTCTGTTTCCTGAGCTATCTAATGATGTAGTGCCAGTCTTGGCAGCATTTTCCTGTGAGCCCAGGGTGGCCTGATGATGTACCCCCTGGGGACAGGCCCTAGACTGTCTAGGCTCGCCCATTCATTCAACCCAGATTTGGACCAGTGCTGGATCAAAGCGTGGTAAGCCTGTAGGGGATAAAGCAGGGTTAATGTTAATATTGCAGGAAGACCTACTTTTTAAACTGGCAATTCATTTGTTCTTAAACTGGAGTTAAGCTAGGTCTACACACATAGATTATTTTCATTCAATCTGCAAGCTAAACAAATTTATTCTAACAGATTTCCCATCTAGGCTAAACAGCGTTAATGAATGACTTTTTCATTGTACTCCTTTGATCTTTCAATCAAAGGATGCTGGGCAGGAGGTGGCCAACAGGGCCACCCATGCACAGTATTTTGGCCAGTTCCTCAGGAACAAGCTACAAATTTTGTTTTCTAACCGTTTTTTTTTTGTTTTCCTCTATTGGTTGAACTAGACTTGTGCCTCTTTTTTTACCCTGATTAATTATGTAACTGCACTTGATTGGGTATTCTTTACAAAGTGAAGTTGTACCCTAATTTACAAAGCTTCAGGGAAAATTAGTGCAACTGCACTTGCAAAGTGCAGTCTATTTGCCTTTAGTAATCCACCTTTCTGTGCACCATGCTATAAGACAAAATTCTTAGCTTCCAGACATTTTCACATTAACATCTGACTCCTCTTTGCTTCCATTGGCTTGACTGCTCACTATACAGTGTTATCGAATTATCTTGGTACTAGCTAACAGATAAACCTGTGTGTGGCCAGTCCATTTTGTTTAAGGGCTAATTCACACATGTGCGGTGACAGGTGTGTGACAGACCCAACCGGGACAAGGGCTTTTGGAGGGGACTAGGGGCTAGCCTTCTACCCACTGATTATGGCCAGTAGAGGAGACCAGGGATTTTGTCTGCTTCTCCCAGTCAGAGCATGGAAGAGAACTCCGTTCAGAATCTGATCGCATGGAGAGAGTGGATCAGTCTGTGATGATGGATAATAATGTGATGAACGCTGAGAGCTGATTCTCTGAATAAAGACTTATTAAAGCTTCCCTTTTGGAGTGGATGGACAGGTGTAATATTAATCTTATACAGGTTAATGGTCAGAGAAAATATGGGGCCCTCCTGCAGACTGGGTTGGAGAAGCTCCTAAACTTGGGACATAAATATTTATCAACAAGCTCCTTCAAGAAATCTATAGAGATAAATTAATTCCACTTCTTCTTATCTTACTTTTCTAGTGGACAGATTATACAAGTGAAAGGCAAACACCTGAAAGACAACATTTGTAATGTACTTTGTGTATGCAGGGTTGTGGGCTTGTCGCTGGGTTGTCTGGGGTGGGCTCCTGGCTGGTCCACGTGCCTGGCTATTGATTAGCTTACAGTTAATTAGATCAGCTGTTGGCTATTCATTGGATGTATTAGATGATACTACTGTTTAAAGGTTGCATTGTTTAGGATCAAGTGATCAAGTTCTTATCTGTGTGGTATAAATTCTGTGTGAAATTTCAATAATGTCAGTTCCAGTTGTACCTAAGCTAGTGTTGTCTAGTTCTTGGGTGTAATGCCCAGTTGTAATTTCTTGGTCCTGTGTCCTAGTGGCAAGGAAGCAGTTCTCTGATGGAACACCCAGGCGGGGTGCCAGGCGGTCCGTCACAAGGTGATTACTGCATTGCAAAACGCCTGTCACCACAAGCACACACAGAAAACAATTGTTTCCTGTGTGTCCCATTCAAACTGTGCTGCAGTGTACTGTGATAAATATGCAGACATGCTGCATTTTATTGCCAGGCACTGTATAGAATCACATGGCACTGTACAGCAGTGCAGTGCATCGCGCTGCTGTACAGCGCCATGAATGATGTGTAAGTTTTGTACACTTCAAATAAAGTTTATTTGGAAAAAAGGGAGCTGTGTGATGCACTGGATAGCATGCTACACTACTGCCCCCTAGCGCAGTCGGGATCGGACAGTTGCCAAACAGGTGAAGCACTCTGGAAGCTGTCTGCTCTTGTGTGAACCCAGCCTAATTATCCAATGTACTTTTTTGTTGTATAGCTACAACCTTACCTCTATTAATTATTATCTTCCCAGGCATGTGTCACCGTATATGTTTTTGTTTTTCCCCTCTGAATCTGATAGCTAGAGAGATATTTAATGAATCCACCACTCTTGTGTTACATTTGTGGGTCTAGTGGAATTTCAGTATAACAGTGATGATAGAGCTCATTAGGTAAATTGTTTGGCTGCATTACCAGGTGTCACATAGGTGTCACCTGCCAAAATGTGTGTGCAGTAAAAGAAGGAGTTAGGAGTCGTAATATTTTCATCGTAATAAACTCTTTATAAATGTTAAATCTTATTTTGCTCTTACTTATGAAATGCCGATGTATAGAATACTAATGAAGAACCAAAGCTAACGTACTTTTGACTTAAGAAATTGTAACTATCTGAAATTCAGAACACTGTATGAGTATTGTGCTCATTATAGAAACTCTTCGACGAAACTGTTAATGTGGTCTGTGCAGCGTACGGAAATGGCCAGCACAGAGGATGTTAACAATAGGAAGAAATGTGGAAAGACTCCTTGAATCTATAAATAACCTGGGTAAAAATGGAAGCCATGTTCAGTATTTGGCAACACATTTATCCATTATAACATTAAAGTAACTTGGACAAATCAGTATACAATGAAAAAAAAATTCACAATGCAAAGGGTACCGATGTCAAGCCAATTAGGCAATCAACAGATTAAGCCAGCTCAAGTTATATGCAAATCTTGATATTTTCTGTAAAAACTTGATGCAGCCCACTTGTTCCTGTCTGTTGGCCCTTTAATGTAATGGGTAGTCTCACTGACAAACAAGAAAGTTTAAAAGTGTGAAGGGGTAGGACAAGTCATGATTGTATACACTGTACATATATCTGCTGATATCTCTTGACCAGGGGCAGACTGACCATTTGGAAACTTGGGCACTGCCCGAGGGCCCGGGGTCAGTAGGGGCCCCATGAGATGCCCCTGGTACCTTTTTCATAGGCTTTTTTGAGTTTGGGCAAGGACACAGGGGCCCCATGATCTCCTATTGCGCAGGGGCCCCATGAGTTGTCAGTCTGCCCCTGCTCTTAACATGGGGTTTTCACTGGATATCACCTCTGCATAGTATTCTTCTTAGTTCATTTTGAATTGCCTGGATTTCAACAGAGGGTTATATTGGATAAATGGGATACTAAATGCTTAACATGGCGGAGTAGAGTACATTTAATTAAAATGTTTTTATTTAAAAAATGTTTTTCATACAAGTGAAATATATATTTTTAGAAACCTTTTCTTTCTTTTACTTGGTTACAGGTAAAACTCCTTTAACCGCTTCCGCGCTGCTCTGTAGCAGTATTTCTACATATACATTATTTTGCAGTTCCAGGCCATTCGCGACCTTCACTGTCAATCACCTGGTCCCGGCCGGTGATTCCCGACCGGTACCCGGTGATCTCCGAGTATTACCGACAGGGGAAAGACCTGTGTATAAAACTATACAGATGTCTCCCCTGTCAGCGCCTGCACACTGCTTTGTATGGCTCTGCATAGCAGAGCCATACAAAGTGTGCGTACAGTGAAACACACACAGCACACATAGTAAAACAGCACGCAGCACACAGTTAAACCTTTGATTGGCCCACATGTTAACCCTTCCTGCCCAGTGCCATTAGTAGTGTCTGTGCTTTTTATTAGTACTGATCATTGTATTGGTGTCACTGGGGATATCCGTGACACCAGATCAGTTCCCCGCAGTGTCAGAATGCCCGCAGTAGTCCTGCTATAAGTCACTTATCACCGCCATTACTAGTTTAACAAAAAAAAAATTCCAGTGTATATACCGCCATTTGTAAACGCTATAACTTTCATGTAAACCAATTAATTTACTCATATTGGGATTTTTTTTAGCAAAGAGAAGTAGCAGAATACAATTTGGCCTACATTTATGACGAAATTAGATTTTTAAATTTTTTTTACTGGATATGTTTAATAGCAAAAAGTCAAAAATATAGTTTGTTTTTTTCAAACTTTTTGGCATTTTTTTGTTTATAGCGCAAAAAATAAAAAACGCACAGCCAATCAAATACCACTGAAAGAAAGCTCTACATGTGGGGAAAAAGGGACATAAATTTCGTTTGGTTGCAGTGTTGCATGACCACGCAATTTTCAGTTAAAATAACACAACACGTATTGGAAAAAATGGCCTGGTCAGGAAGGGGGGTAAATCCTCTGGAGGGCAAGTGGTTAATTACATACTAAATAACAAAAAAGTATTAGGATCATTTTAATATTCAGATGTTTCATCAAAACACATAGCAGCATCGGAGTCATGTCCCTGGTTAGGTGATCCAGTTAAAGATAAGCACAGTATAATAAAAGAATAGTAGCTCAATTCATTATCTAATTCGACATTTAATCAACATTTCAGGATTGAATATTGTTAATGACATATACTACAAATAACTGAAAAGACCCAAGTTATAACAAATCATTTTATCTGTAAATTCTATACTTTTACACCTAAGGGCTTGTTTACACCAGGTGCATTGAGCGGCTTTGATCTGCACTGATTAGGTTCAATGCAAGAACACACAAAAAATGTTTTCCATGTGCTCTGTTGACACCATAACACTGCAGTTTTATGCAATACAACCTACTGCAAAGCATGCCCCCACAATGCATGTAACATACGTCTTGTCGTTTATGTACTCTCTTGTCACTGTAATGCTTACATAAATGTTGTTTTTCTGTAGATTACTGGTTAAAAACTATTTTTTGTTTATTGTATTAATGTACTGTGCTCTGGAATCTCCCTTTTGTGTACGTTTTATAGTACAATTTTTGAGTTGCAGGTGTTTGTCTTTATATTTTTTTTTTGCATTTTGCCATCTAAATTTTTAGTTGCCTCAGGTATTTTTTAAAATCTGAAATGGTGGGTGCACATTCTCTTATCAGTTATCTAACTATACATTTCCTTGCATCCAGCAGGCCTGATACAGTGCCTTTAAAAAGTATTCATACCCACTGAAATTTTCCACATTTTGTCATGTTACAACCAAAATGCGTAAATATATTTTATTGGGATTTTATGTGATAGACCAACACAAAGTGGCACATATTTGTGAAGTGGAAGCAAAATGATAAATGGTTTTCAAAATTTTTTACAAATAAATATCTGAAATGTGTAGCGTGTTTTTGTATTCAGCCCCCTTTACTCTAAATCCCCTAACTAAAATCTAGTGGAAACAATTGCCTTCAGAAGTCACCCAATTAGTAAATAGAGTCCACCTATGTGTAGTTTAATCTCAGTATAAATACAGCTGTTCTGTGAAACCCTCAGAGGTTTGTTAGAGCACATTAATGAACAAACAACATCATGAAGGCCAAGGAACACACCAGATAGGTCAGGGATAAATTTGTGGATAACTTTAAAGCAGAGATAGGTTATAAAAAAATATCCCAAGCTTTGAACATCTCACGGAGCACTGTTCAATCCCTCATCCAAAAATGGAAAGAGTATGGAACAAATGAAAACTTACCAAGACATGGCTGTCCACCTAAACTGACAGGCCGGGCAAGGACACCATTAACCACTTTATTAACCACTATGACAGCTACAGCTCGGTAGTCCAGTTTTGGGAGGGCATCATATGATGTCCTCCCTGAAGCACCTCCTGCGTGCCACCAGCAGCACTCACCATCCGCTGTCTATAACCGCCGTGTCCTTTGGACACAGCTGATCACATGACATGGTAAAAGGCCAATCGCAGCGTCCTTTTGCCACGTGATCAGCTGTGTCCAATCACAGCTGACCATTATGTAAAAACACTTGCCGGTTATCGGCAACTGTCAAAGCAGACATCTACACTGATAATCAGGGCACTGATTATCAGTGCAGCCCTAAAAGTGCCCATCATTTTTGCCTATCAGTGCCCATCATTGCTTCCTATTAGTGTTCATCAGTGCTGCCAAGCAATGCACAGCAGTGCTGCCAATCTGTGTCTATCAGTGCCATCAGTCAGTGCTGCCAGTCAGTACCGCCCATTACTCCCCAGCAGTGCTGCCCATCAGTGCCTATCATTGCCGCCTATTTGTACCCATCAGTGCAGCATTTCAGTGTAGCATCATAAGTGGCTCTTCTTCAATGCCCATCAGTGCCGCCTCATCAGTGCTGCCTATCAGTGCCAACTATCAGTGCAGCCTCATCAGCGCACATCAGTGAAGGAGAAAAATTACCTGTGCAAAATGTTATAATAGAAACAAAGAAAACCTTTTTTTTTTCTTTTTTTTTTTTAATTTTCACTTTTTTCATTTATAGTGCAAAAAATAAAACATCCAGTGGTGACTAAATACCACCAAAAGAAAGCTCTATTTGTGTGAAAATTATAAATATTTCATATGGGTACAGGGTTGCATTACCGCACAATTGTCATTCAAAGTGCGACAGCACTGGAAGCTGAAAATTGGCCTGGGCAGGAGGGAGGTGAAAGTGCCCAGGAGGCAAGTAGTTAATCAGAGAAGCAGCCAAGAGGCCCATGGTAACTCTGGAAGAGCTGCAGAAATCCACAGCGCAAGTAGGAAAATCTGTCCACAGGACAAATATTAGTTGTGCACTCTACAAATCTGGCCTTTATGGAAGAGTGGCAAGAGAAGCCATGTGGGGGACACAGCAAACATGTGGAAAAAGGTGCTCTGGTCAGATGAGACCAAAACTTTTTGGCCTAAGAGTAAAACGCTATGTGTGGCGGAAAACTAACACTGCACATCACACTGAACACACCATCCCCACTGTGAAACATGGTGGTGGTAGCATTATGTTGTGCTGATACTTTTCTTCAGCAGGGACAGGAAAGCTGGTCAGAGTTAATGGGAAGATGGATGGAGCCAAATAGAGGGCAATCTTAGAAGAAAACCTGTTAGAGTCTGCAAAAGACTTGAGACTGGGGCGGAGGTTCACCTTCCAGCAGGACAACGACCCTAAACATACAGCCAGAGCTACAATGGAATGGTTTAGATCAAAGCATATTCATGTGTTAGAATGGCCCAGTCAAAGTCCAGACCTAAATCCAATTTAGAATCTGTGGCAAGACTTGAAAATTGCTGCTCACAGACACTCTCCATCCAATCTGACAGAGCTTGAGCAGTTTTGAAAGAAGAATGGGCAAAAATTTCACTCCCTAGATGTGCAAAGCTGGTAGAGACGTCCCCAAAAAGACTTGCAGCTGTAATTGCAGTGAGAGGTGGTTCTACAAAGTATTGACTCCGGGGGGCTGAATACAAATGCACGCCACACTTTTCAGGTATTTATTTGTAAAACATTTTGAAAACCATTTATCATTTTCTTTCCACTTCACAAATTATATGTCACTTTGTGCTGGTTTGTCACATAAAATCCCAATAAAATACATTTATGTTTTTGGTTTTAACATGAAAAATTTGGAACATTTCAAGGGGTATGAATACTTTTTAAAGGCACTGTATGTTGCCACTATCCCATTCACTGGTACTCCGGCAGTGCAGCTCAAGGAAGCATCTTTATATCCAAAAAAGCAGAGAAAAGGATCACTGGACACTGTTCTAGAGAACGCATATCAAACATATCATAGCATCTGAGTACAAAATTTAAAAATATTTAAGCAGGACTAAGGGAGGCAAGGAGAGTTAAGGATGGTCTTGGATGTTTGAATATTGCAGCATAGCAAAGGGGTTCCACTAAAGAGGTTACATGATGTCCTTGCTGTGAACAGTATGCATGCCCCGTGGAGAATTTTGTATTTGAGTTTTCCATCATAGTTCCTTGGCAATGTAGTCCAAGTCTATTGAAGCTGTTAGTTTATCTATAAAATCAGGTGTCGGGAAGTCTATGTTCCAGTTTTGAACATGGGAACATTTCTACAGTTTAGTATAGAGTTTGTTCAGAAGTGGTTATAGTGTTGATATAGAGAACGTATTAGTTGTTATGAGGTTATCCAAGAAGTTTGGCTTCAGAGTATCTTGTATGTCATTTGTTTGGGATTTTCAGTATTTATTAATTACTTGAAAGTGCAAGAAGTGGTGGAATGGGATTGTGTAGTACCATGCTAGTTCGTGGAAAGTTTTCAGCTTATACAATAAGTATGGAACAGATCTGATATACAAGTTGTGAAGATCGCAATTCTATTTTGTGTGAGTTATTTTGAATGGGGAGATATCTGAAGATACATGGCAGTAGTTTTCATCTTTTTCATGTTTCACAAATGTAATTATTATATGGTTGTAGAGGCTGCAGAGCAGGTTGGACAGCTTGCTATGTATAATGGCTACCAGGTTCCAGGATTTGGCTGCAGCTGCTTCAGTTTGGTAGTTGGAATATCTGGATATCCCTAATATCCAGTTGGGTGTGAATTTAACTAGACTAGCTATGCTATAGACTTTTATTTTCAGAAGATTTTGCCCTTCCTCACTGTTCAGGAGATAGACATTTTGTATTGAGAGTCTTGGTCATTTGTTGTGCCAGGGGAATTCTGATGTTGCCTGGTTCAATTGATTGTTATCTTCATGCTTAGATCTGGAATTGTTAATTGTTTAATTGTCAAACTTTGACAAATAGATACTGAAAGCTTCTAATCTATCTGGTATTCTGGGAAAGCTAAGGAAGATATCAGACATATTTTAGTATATCGTAGAACTGAATTACTCTCAGTTTTAAGATTTAATTTAAACAAAAATGAGTCTCTAATAGCTGGCTTATAAATTTATAAGCAATATGCTAACAAACAGAAATATGAACATAAAGGGTAGCTCTAATTTTTCTAGAATGCAAAAGACATATTCTATAACCAACTGCAAGTATTCATATATTAAGTGTTATTGAAGCTTATGTTTGAATAATTACGTTTGCTTTGGATTCTCACTTGCCATATTCAACTTGTCAGCAGCCACTGTGTGTCCATTCATTAATAAAGGCTTCCTGCACGCAGCTCTAGGCAGCTTCACGCACATAACCAAAGCCTCATTCACACTGTATGTGCCTCTATGCCCGTGTGAATGAGGCCTAACACATCACCCACTGCTTATTCCAGGGAAGACTTACAGCAGTATTAAGCCCTAAACATTTGTTATATTGTAGCTTACAAATTCTTAAATGTAATGGCTGTTCTGTTTTCCACTGGCAATTCAGCCAACAATGCTGCTGTTTTTAAGAAGCTCAAACTCTCCTGCAGAATGGATTAGCTTACATGGATGAGACCATCCAACTGCCATTGGCAGGGATGATTAAAATGATCAGCTTTTAGAGGGCAGAGTTACATAGTTAGTCTGGCTGAAAAAAGACAAAAGTCCATCCAGTTCAACCATAAAAAAAGAGGAAGTGGAGGGAAACAGGGTCACACAGTACAGCGATCCAGTTGGATACTCTGGTCCCATGTGACCCGGGCAGCCATCTTGGGTCAAGCAGAGTCTGTTTAGGGCTCTGACCCCAGGTTTCTGCAGCACTTTATGTGAGCGGCTAGAATAGGGACAGGTTCCCTGTCTGGCAGGGTCAGTGCTAGTGATAAGGAAAGGTTACGGAGGAGTAGGAAAAGAGCTGGGACTACATCTACCTTCTCAGGAAGCTTCACCTTTGGGTTGGACTGGCCAGGTCGCATTCTGCTCCTCATGGCAGATGCTGTCTGGTTGTACTGTGCAATTATGTTTACAGTACATAATTTTTGCAAATAAAGACTCTGTGCTTACTGTGCGCCAAACCATGCTGCACCGTCCCAACATGTGTCCCCATTAGGGAGCTTCACACTCACTATTTTTCCTAGTGACTATTCTCACTATGACTGAAACTAATGTAAATCCATTGGACTCATTGGGACAAGAAGCTTAAATGTTCCAGTGGGGCATTTCTTCCTGTAACATCTGTCTAAGAGGGAATTTTCCTTCCCTTGCAGAGATTTCCTCTCACTTTCCTTTTTTCTATGCAACAGGAAGTGAAGGTATTTCTCCCAATAGGTCAAAGACAACAAAATGAAAAAAAAAAAAAACCTGACAGGGATTTAACCATTCCTTCCTCTATCCAAAATTTTGATATATTTTAGGTAGATAATGGGGGAACCAGAAGAATAGATATTTTACTGAAAAAAACCAACAGGAGTTTTACTGCTCTAACTGGCTTCGGATACACTTTCAGCTTGCAGGACTACAAAACGTCCACATCATACATTATAGTATATATTGCAATTTTTCAGGCATACAACCAAAAATTCCTCGGAGTGTGTCATATTTAAATTTTTCTCTTATTGCCTATTAGATTGTATAAATATTCTGCTGATTCATTCTGCTGAATTCTGACATGAGTGGGTTGCTGTTTAAGTAGGTTGAAGCTGTGTATTATTAAACACTATCAGTCATTTCATCTCATCAGTCATTATTGACAGATCAGTAAGTTTAAAAGCCTCTTTGGTCCAATGTTCTTAAAGCCCTTCCTTGTACAGAGACATCCTGTTGTTTGCAGACTATAATAACTGTGTCTCAGGTGGCCAAACTGCTACTCTTTCCTTACCCGTCCCTGCACAAAGCCTCTTACCTACCTCCTGCTGGCAATACACATGTCTGGACAATCTGTTAGCTCTCCTCGTACAAATAGCAGAGGAAATAGAAGTTTCAAGGAAATCTAATGTAACACCAGAAATGAATGATTTTCTGGCTTACTTCTCCTCAGAGACCAGGTACAAGTTCATATTCCGAACAATGCACAAGAAGAGAAACAATGACATCCCTATTTTATTTTTCTTTAAACTTTGTTATTTTAAGGAAGTAGAACTTTAAGGGCCCCTTTATTTGCTAGCGTACCACACTGTACCATGGTGTTACAGGATTATCAGTGATCTGAGTATAAGGTGTGACAAAGATGCAGCCTGCAGTATCTGTATTTAAAGAGTATGTAGAAAGTATGTGAATAAACCTCCCAGTAATGCTATTACTAGGCTGCAGCTAGAGGGAGCTCTAGTAATTTGTGGTGCGACTTCAGGAGACTAATACCAACAAGCTCACATTAAACTTGGAATGAGCAAGTGAGCATGTTTTTTTGTCTTCTCTTTAAATACAGATTAGTCACACTTGGTTTATGCTATCTTTGTTACGTTTTGTGTTGTTTTGACATTCATTTTCTCTGTTTAGTATCCTATTTGTTAGTAAAGGTAATCTCTAACATACATTGTTGGGCTTTTCTATGTGGCCTGAGCTGCCAACTGCACAGAAAATGATTATCTGTATAATGTGATGCATTTTTGTTTGTCACATTAAACTCTAAATGAGAAAGTGAGCACATGTGTTTTCTGTCTCCTCTTTAAATACAGATAATGCAGACTGCATCTTTGTCATACCTTGCACTCAGATCACTGCTAATCCTGTAACATTTTTTGCAAGGGCAGCAACCTTAAAGCAGAGCTCCACCCAAAAGGGGAAGTTCCACTGTAACGATTGGCCACCCTGCTCCCTATTAAGGATTGGCAACTTTGGGGAACGGGTACTTGAAATTAACCACTTGCCTACCAGGCACTTTACCCCCTTCCTTACCAGGCCAATTTTCAGCTTTCAGCGCTGCCGCACTTTGATTGACAATTGCGCGGTCATGCAACATTGTACCCATATGAAATTTTGATAATTTTTTTCTCACAAATAGAGCTTTCTTTTGGTGGTATTTAATTGCCACTGGGCGCTTTACTTTTTGCGCTATAAATAAAAAATGTGCAAAAAATTTAAAAAAAAAAAAAAAAGTTTATTTGTTTCTTTTATAAAATTTTTCAAACAGGTATTTTTTCTCCTTCACTGATGTGCATTGATGTGGCAGCACTGATGGGCACTGATAGGCGGCACTGATAGGCAGCACTAAAGGGCACTGATAGGCAGTACTAATGAGGTGGCACGGATAGGCGGCACTGATAGACAGCACTAATTAGGGGTCACGGATAGGCGGCACTGATATGCAGCACTGATAGGTGACACTGATTATGGGTACTGATAGACGGCACTGACTGGCATCACTGCTGGGCACTGACTGGCGGCACTGACTGGCACAACCCCTGGGCACTGACTGGTGGCACTGACTGGCAGCACTGCTGGGCTGCACTGGTGGGTGGCACTGGTGGGCAGCGCTGGTGGGTGGGCACAGGTGGGTGGCACTGGTGGGCACAGGTGGGTGGCACTGCTGGGCACAGGTGGGTGGGCACAGGTGGGTGGCACTGCTGGGCACATGTAGGTGGCACTTCTGGGCACAGGTAGGTGGCACTGCAGAGTGGCACAGGTGGGTGCACTGCTGGGCACAGGTGGGGGCACTGCTGGGCACGGGTGGGCGGAGCTAGTGGGCGCACTGCTGGGCGGAATTTGCAGGGTGTCACTGCTGGGCACCGATCATCAGGGCACTGATCATCAGTGCCCTGATGATCGGTGCCGATCCCGGCTCTGACAACTGCCGGTTCTCGGCAGTACTTTCCTCACGATCTGACAGCGTGAGGAAAGTGCAGCCGAGAACCGGCACTTGCATTTCCCCGTGATCAGCGTGTCACCCAGAACTGGCCGGCCGCGGTGAAGCCTTCTTCTGCTGCGATCACCTAGGTAATTGGAAGCGGAAGTTCTCCTCCCCCACTCCCTCCCCATAGTCATCTGGGATACGTGACAGGTCCCAGAAGACTACGGGACCATTCACAAAGTGCAGCAATACTTGCGCATGCGCAGTGAGCACCCGGGTGCCTACACTGAAGATACCAGCACATGCACGCCCTAAACCCGGAAGCAGGCAGCAGCGTACGGTTACATGGCTTTGCCTGTGAGGGCTATCCGGTCGCAGTCCATTACAGGCGGGCGGTCCGCAGGTGGTTAAATGAAATAATTCTCAAAGTTATTGCCGAATAAACAGGCCTGTAGCAGAAATGTAAAGACTAAAAAAGAAAAAATAAGAAAGTGAGCGCTCTCTCAACAGCAGCCAATGCACCCAAGGTAATCACAGCAAAACCTTCAAAAATATAAAAAGTGCGAAGCTAATGAATATATGATCTGTAGACCCATATATGTCTCAGATAATCTATAACACAATGTGATATTTAAGCAGAGATAAAAACCGATACATCAGATAAATGATAATGTCCAAGCAAATAAACGCAGGATCTTGCATAGAAGTTAGAAAAACCAGGATCAAACGGTAAAATTACGCACTCACCAGGCGCGCTATAAGAAAGCGCATATGTAGTATGACCCCTGGAAATCCCTCATAGAGCGGGGACGATAGATAGCCATCCAGGAGTAGATGATCTTGGTGTAATGGACAGCTTCCAGATCCAGAAATCCCCTTTAGACTGGGTAAATAATAAGTGAGGAACTCCCTCCGGTGGTCAAGATGAGTAATAGGATTTCCTAAAATTGTTAGCTCCACAAGTAAGATGGCCGCCGGGCCTCCTCGTGGCTCCAGGCGGCTAAGATGTCACGCTCTGCTGGCTCCTCCTAAGGCCTTTCGTGCTCCAGCACATCATCAGAGGGGAGGCCAACCATCCGCTCTATGAGGGATTTCCAGGGGTCATACTACATATGCGCTTTCTTATAGCGCGTCCGGTGAGTGCGCAATTTTACCATTTGATCCTGGTTTTTCTAACTTCTATGCAAGATCCTGCGTTTATTTGCTTGGACATTATCATTTTAACTGATGTATCGGTTTTTATCTCTGCTTAATTATCACATTGTGTTATAGATTATCTGAGACATATATGGGTCTACAGATCATATATTCATTAGCGCCGCACTTTTTTATTTTTTGTAGAAATGTAAAGACTGCTCGTGTCCATAGGGAATATACAGGTGTGAAGTGGTTAACCCCTTCAGGACCAGGGTCAAAACAAACCTTAAAGTGTTAATAAACTGAAGAAATAAAATCAGCTGCCAGACAGGGCTTGTATAACAGAAGAGACCTTCTATCATAAATCTCCTGCCTATCAGTGGGTAATGTGATATGAGCTGCACATGCGCAGCTCAGACCACATTTACAGCCTGCTCTGCTTGCTGTAGCGATGCGACCCTTGTGCACATGCCCAGTATTGACATCACCGCTGCCCAGCCATTCAAGCGGCCGAAGATTCCGAACCCTGAAGATAGACCAGGTAAAAAATGGAAGCATCAGGGAGCCATGGCAGCGCAGTGCTGGAAGGCTCTGTTTGTAGGCAAGTCTGTCATAATGTACTAGTATGCAGTGCATACTAGTATACTATGACTTAAACCTGCAGGGGCCCATTTTTTTGGTCAAAACAAATATTTTACTACCTTTGTAACTCCCAACTTTTCAACTTTGACGTGTTAGTATAACTGTACATATCATCCCAATTACTTATTATCAAATGAAAACTGACCCAAAAAAAAACACATGACAACGATTGGGCTTGAGCACTCAGCACCCCAGCTCTGTCACATGAAGATGGGTAGAGAGTTCTCAACTTGGATAACTGGCTTCACTCCTGGCAATCAAGAAAGGAAGCAAAAGTAGGGAAATAAGCTGCTTGTTGGGTCAAAATTAAAGTGACGCTTTCAGCCGCATGGACACATATACACTCTCCGGCCACTTTATTACATACATCTGTTCAATTGCTTTGTAACACAAATTTCTAATCAGCCAATCACATGGCAGCAACTCAATGCATTTAGGCATGTAGACGTGGTGAAGACGACTTGCTGAAGTTCAAACCGAGCATCAGAATGGGGAAGAAAGGGAATTTAAGTGACTTTGAACTTGGCATGGTTGTTGGTGCCAGGCAGGCTGGTCTGAGTATTTCAAAAACTGCTGATCTACTGGGATTTCCACGCACAACTTTCTCTAGGGTTTACAGAGAATGGTCCCAAAAAGAGAAAATATCCAGTGAGCAGCAGTTGTGTAGAAGAAAATGCCTTGTTGTTAGAGGTCAGAGGAGAATGGGCAGACTGGTTCGAGATGATGGAAAGGCAACAGTAACTCATGTCAATATGGACCTAAATCTCTGAGGAATGTTTCCAACATCTTGTTGAATCTATGCCAGGAAGAATTAAAGCGGAGCTCCACCCAAAAGGGGAAGTTCCGCTTTAAGGACTGCTCCCCATTAAGGACTGGCACCTTTTGGGGGGGGGGGACCTGAATTTGACAGGTACCCACTCCCACTTCCGGTCCGAACGCCTAGGCTATCAGAAACGGAAGATGTCCTCCCTCCCTGTAGTCTTTTCGGACATGTGACAGGTCCCAGAAGACTACAGGACCATTCATGAAGCGCAGTGGGTACCCGGCTGTGAAGCCGCAAACTGTCACAGCCGGGTGCCCACACTGAAGATGCCAGCCTCCTGGAATACAGGACAGCCGGTGAAACGGGCTGCGGGGGACACACCACAGGACCGAGGGACAGGTAAGTGACTGTTTTTTAAAAGTCAGCAGCTACAGTTTTTGTAGCTGCTGACTTTTATGTTTTGACAGGGTGAGTGGAACTCCGCTTTAACGCATTTCCGAAGGGAAAAGGGGGCCCAACTGGGTACTAGCAAGGTGTGCCTAATAAAGTGGCCAGTGAGTGTAGACTATTTATACTGAGGGCCTAATCACTCAGCCATCAGGTAATGGGTAAGAGGTGGGCTTACAATGATTTTGAAAGTTAGCAAAAGAACAAAGGCATGCTATGAAAAATGCCTGGAAATGCCAAAAAACATGGTTTGTCTGAACAAAAAGCCTTATTATCTTTTTTTTTAAATTACAATCATTACATAGCCGAATCCTTAGCAGAGAAATATTATCTGCCTGGAGAGTATGTCATATGCTCTTCTGCTGCTTCAATAAAACCTAAGTTAGCTGAAAGTACATGACTCTTACCATCTACATCTGTATTCATTATTTATAATATAGACTGCAGCCATGAATCATGTTCCGATTATTAATCCAATACATGCCTAACTAATCCTACATATCAGTCTCTCAACTCATACATATTTATTGTTTTTACACTAATATCGGAGAATGCATGTGACTGAAGACAGATAAAATAAGAACTGGCCAGTGGCAGAATAATGATTTGTGCAGCTTGATAGATTGTCAACCTGGGTTTTTTTTTTCAGCAGGAACGCAGGTGGGGACAGTTCCGGCACCTTCAGCACAGAATCTATGTAGAAAGGTGGCTGGGGTGTGCTAGAGGGTCTACTGACGATGATTGCTGGGGATCTATTGTAGCTGAGGGGTGCAGTGTTGCTGGGGGTCTATTGTTGGAGAGGGGGATATATTGCTTTATGGTTCTTATGTTGTTGGGGGATCTCATGTTGAGGGGGGAGAGTCTATTGATGCTGGCTGCTGGGATATTTATTGTTGCCAGTATGGCTGTATTGTTGCTAGGGCAGATCTATTGTTGCTGGAGTGCATTTTGTTCTTTGGGGGAAGGGACTATTGTTGTTGGAAAGGATCTGTTGTTGCTGGGGGTCTATTATCATTAACTAATTCCATACACATTACTTAACATCACAAAGCAATACTTGGCTCTGTATTCTCTAAAAGGAGCAGTACTAAGAGGTGGATAGGGAGCAAAGACAAGGGTCAGTGCTCAAAAGTAGGTAAGGGGCAGAGACAAGGGGTGGCTCGGTATAAGGGGGAGTACCTGCACCTATTCTCTAAGAAAAAAAGCCTTGTCAATCAACATGAAAGACTAATGTACTTACAAATGATGCCAAGAAATGGAATTGAAACTACAAAGCATAAAAGGATTTCTATCCTTGGAGATTCAATATTTTCTACATCTATAGGCATAGCCATAAGCCCAATTACACAACACTGATCTAGGTCAAAGCCAGTGGTGCCATTATCATCAGATGTACTACACACAAACCTTAGGTAAGGCTGGAGAACCTGTAAAATAAATTGGGTCTATGATAATATCTATAAAAATATATAGGAAATGCATGTCACTTTACTATATCTTACAAAATCTGTATTTACTACATCATTTACCCTCAGTGGTGGGAACTCTTCAGAATTAGCCCAGAGACTTTGGTTAATCAAAAAGATTATGAGGTCTACCAATGTTAATTCTAGCCTACCTACCTATTGGCTGACAGTTGTAGTTACATCAACATTACTACTCCCATTCATACAGTGGGCTGGAGGAGAGAGCCTGGAGCAACAGAGTTTGCTGTCTCCTCCTACAGCACACATACAGCAACAATTTTCGGCGTATTTTTTATCCCGTGAATTGCATGGAATATCATTTAAGCCAGGGGTCCTCAAACTATGGCCCGCGGGCGGCATGCGGCCCGCCAGGTGTTTTGAAATATTTGGCATCCCCCTGCGTACTTTCACGGCGCCATCCCCTGCATACTTTCATTCCACCAGCACCGCTCTGACTGGCTCTGCCTCTCCCTCCCTCAGCTCCCTCACCTGCCCCTCGGCTTCGCCTCTGCTCCACCTCCAGTGATAGTACTGTGTGCTGGGGATGTAGATCCGGCCGGCGCGGCAAGTAAATGATAGAGGGGTGGAGTCTACGATCTCTGGAGGGGCTTTCTGCAGTT